CGCAGGGGGCACAGGGTCTGGGGGCTGCCCGGCAAACCGTGAAGCCGGTAGCGCTTGGGCAGCCCTTTTCACGTGGCTGGGAGGGAGGAAGGGGAGTAAGGGCGGGGACTTTGGGGAAGGGGCAGGCAATGGGTGGGGTTGGGGCAGGGAAGGGGTGGAGTTGGGGCAGGGCCGGGGGTGGGAAAGAGGCGGGGCCAGGGCCCCGTGGAGTGTCCTCTTTTTTTATTTTTTAAATATGGTAACCCTAGTGTAAGGAATAGACTGTGAATTTTCTTGAGTCCCAGAGACTGTTGTTTGTGGTATCCCTGTGCCCATTGGGCGGGATTCCTGGATCCTTTAACTTTTTCCATTTTCCCCTTATTTGTGTACAGTTGTCATTTAATAAATTGCATGTGGTTTAAACTCAATGTAGCGATCAGTGGGTCAGGGAAGTGGCCGGTGAGACGAGAGTATGTCGGAGTGGGGACATCCTAGCCCCTGTCCCCAGTGACCCACAATAAGATTGGGGGTTAAGTGCCCAGGGATCCTGGGACCAGTCTTATCGGGGTTACTAGGACTCTGCTGCAGGGGAGAGTGGAAGCAAAGTCCTCAAGGTCAGGCAGGCATCTAGGTAAAAGGAGTTGTGGCAGGGACTTAGATCCTTTCACCAGCCAATTCCACCAGGGTAGTATAGAAGCCAGGAAAATTTCTCACAGTAGCGGGACCATTTCCCCACATACAGAGGCATTACAAAGTGAGAAAAAACATAAAAGGAACAAAAACATTCTTACATTTTAACTTTAACTTGCATTTTACAATTTACAATTTTTCAGGGCTTCTTCAGACAGTAGACTAATAACCGGCACCACCTTCATCTGGTCATCTGGGTACAAGGATGGCCTCATCAGGAACAGCAAGCGGCACTGATTGATAAACCCTCAGAACTTGTGGCAGTCTGCATCAAACCGTTCTGGCAAGGTGATTTCTGGACCACATTCCTGCTATTGGAGGGAGGCATTCTCTAGCTGCAGTTGGGCAGTTTGGTTCTGGAGGGTCTAGTACAGGGACTCTGTCTCAGGGAGGAAGAGGGGTGTGCAGCACTCAAGTGCTCCATCAAGGCCCTGCGGTACAGTACAGTGGAGTCGATGCAAACTGTCAGGCGCTGACTCCCAATAGTTAGGCCTGGTGGTTGGAGTGGAGATCAAAGTCAGATGTAGGATCAGGATTGGGCTGAGGGTATGCTGGAATCAAGATCCGGGGACAGGCTTGGGTCAGAACTGAGATCAGAGTCTGTAAACAAGCCAAAAGCAGTACTGTAGCTAGAATCCAAGTGCAGGCTGAAGGTCAAATCTTCATGGTCAGAGTCTGAGGAGGGCAGGAGGCAGAGGCAAGACTGATGCACGGTTCATTAACAACATTGGAGCAAAGTCAGACTAGGGCAAGGACAAGACTGGAACAGGTCTCAGGCAAGGCTGGGGAAGGAACAGGCACTAGTTCAGGAGCAGCTTGGGAGTCTATAAAGTCTAATACACTGCGAGGCAGCAGGAGGTTTCCTGGATGGGTAATGTTGTTGCACAGGCTGGTCTACATCTCTGGTGGGGTGGGGGAAATACCTGACGCTGGGGATCATCTAATCCAGGGATAGGCTACTGCTGTATGCCGGAAGGCTGAGTCATTGCATCCTCTGAGAAAAGGGTAAATACATGCGGTGAGATGTTGCTGCAAGCCTGAATGGTGATTCACAGTGGATCTGTAAGAGGGGCAGCTGAGAGAGTAGCCCTGGTTTGGCTGCAGGTTTGTCTCACATATACCAAGAAAACCACCAAAACCAAAGCAGTATTGATGGGGGCAGTTGCTGGGCTTGGCTACAAATATCGGCATTGCTTTAGTCTTGTCATGCCCATAATAGGTGCAGCTGACCAAGACAACGAGAATCAAAACCATTAATCCACCACCTTTCAGCCTTCCTCAGCACCCACATTTCACTGTTTTGAATGCATGTTGCTAATCCTCCAAGGAGTCCCAAGCAGGGAAATTCCCAAAACAAAGTCAAGAAGAAAAATGATTTTTTAAAATTGTGAGGCGGTTTTGTACATTATAAAGGAAAAGTAAAGTACACAAACAAAATATTTACTTGCTGGTATTTGTCAGATGAAATCCAGAGGATTAAGTCAAACTCATAACATTCATATTTATTAAACACTATTCAACAATATATATAAACACACAGGACCAGGTTTTCTGTTGGTGCAATCCAGTTAAAGTGGATGGAGTGAGAGCAGCAGTTAATTTGGCTCAAAAATGCTCTAAATGAAATCTAAACACAAAATGATATTCAAGATCCTAATCTGTATTATCAGCAATATTTCCTCTGCCTGATACCCACATAAGGTGAGAGAAAAATATATAGAGAGAACTTTTTTATCTGCTTTAGAACACTGAGAAATGCCCTGTTTACCTATTTAAAAACAGCATTTAGAACAAACTTTATTTTAGCAAATAAAGTCCGTGTGTTTCAGAGTGAAAGTTAATATTTACTTCTATGTTCTGAAATCCTTAAGAGGTCCTGCAAGGAGCTCTCCGGGACTTTCTGTTCTCCCCAGTGTGTTACAGTTCAGCCTGTGGAATGTGAGTAGCTGGCAATTGACCTGCAAGTTCAACATCTTTCCTGAATTCCAAAAAATCTGAAAAAAGATATTACAAAACTGGAGTCACCATTAGGTGAGTTTTTGATTGCTTGCTCAGTTGATTGGTTTTTTTTATTTGTTTATAAAACTTTTAAAATCCTTGAACCTAAACACTGGACATAAAATAGATAGACTACTATGCTGATATCTAATTTGAGCCTAATTCGTTCACCCAGGGCCGGCTCCAGGCACCAGACGAGAAAGCACGTGCCTGGGGCGGCACATTGTAAGGGGCGGCATTCCTGCCAATCTTGGGGCGGCCAGCCCAGCCCTGAAGGCACAGACCCCGACCGGGGGGGGCAGGAACTAGTGATCCCCGCTGCTCATCGTGCCGCTGGGCTCCCCGGGACGTGCCACTCCCCGCCGCCTGCACCGGTCTCCGCCTCCCGCGTCGCTCTGAGCCCGGCCTGGCTGAGCTGCCTTTAAAGGAGCGGCTGAGCCAGCACCTCCTGCAGCCCCCAGGCACTGGAAGGAGGGAGAGTTCTGCGGCGGCCCGGCGGGCAGCGGAGGCAGGGACAGTTCTGCGGCGGCCCGGCGGGCAGCGGAGGGGCGGGCCCCACTGATCCTGGCGCCGTTTGCACTGTGCCAAGCCCCACTGCGCTGCCTGTGTCGGCCCCCTTGGAGCCTGCCCAGCTGGGAGAGGCACCCCAAGGCCGGAGCGGGGAGCCCCTCTCGCCTGGCTGCAAGCGGATTGCAGTGCTTGGCTGCCCACGGGCGGAGGGAGCGGGCGGGTGTCGCCCTTCACCCCCCCTGCAAGCCGCCTTGACCGCCCTCCACGCGCTCCCTGCGGCTGCTGTTTGGTTTTGTGGGTTTTTTTGCTTTGGCAGTCCGGCCGCCTTTTTTTTTTTTTGCCTGGGGCAGCAAAAAAGCTAGAGCCGGCCCTGCGTTCACCTATAAAATAAGTTTTTATAAAAGACAATTCAATCTTACAAAACAGGAAAGCTATAAGTAAATCCATGTTAGAAGGGTTTCATTATTGAGATGATCAGTTGGAGAAGAGACAGATGGGGATGGGAGAACCTGGTTTGCCAAATTTAGACCTCACTTGTAGCTTGTGGGTCCTAGATTTAGAACAGAGGTAGGCAACCTATGGCACGCGTGCCGAAGGCGGCACACAAGCTGATTTTCAGTGGCACTCACACTGCCTGGGTCCTGGCCACCGGTCCGGGGGGATCTGCATTTTAATTTAATTTTAAATGAAGCTTCTTAAACATTTTAAAAACCTTATTTACTTTACATACATCAATAGTTTACCGTATATACTCGTTCATAAGCCGAATTTTTTTAGTAAAAAAAGGGAGCACCAGAGACGGGGGTCGGCTTATGAACGGGTATAGAGAGGGAGAGGTGGGACACAGCCCCTCCCCCCAACAGAGGGAGCAAGGAGGGGCAGCAGAGCCAGAAGGGAAGAGGCGGGGCCAGAGTCTCTCCGCTTCTGGCCAATCTGCTCTCCCCCGAGCCTCCGAAGCAGCTGCAGCTCCGGGGCTGGCAGGCTGCAGCTGTGCTGCTCACAGGACCAGCTCCAGGCACCAGCTTAGCAAGCAGGTGCTTGGGGCAGCCACTCCGGAGAGGGGCGGCATGTCCAGCAATTTGGCGGAGGGTCCCTCACTCCCGCTCGGAGTGAAGGACCTCCCGCTGAATTGCCACCGAAGTACCACAGATCGCGATCGCGGCTTTTTTGGGGTCGGGGGGCACTGCTTGGGGCGGCAAAAACCCTGGAGCCGGCCCTGGCCGCTTGGCCCTGCCCCCCCATAGCAGGCTGTGGCCACGCCGCCGGAGCACGCTGCGGCCGTGCCACCTGGCCCAGCATGCTGCGGCCGTGCCACCTGGCCCAGCCTGCTGGAACATGCTGCGGCCATGCCACCTGGGCTGGCCCACCGGAGCAGGCTGCGGCCACGCTGCCCAGCCTGCCGGAGCAGCTCCAGCCAGGTCAGAGACATCCTCCCCTGGCCTTCCCCAGATAAGGTGGGAAGGGATGGGATGGGGAGAGTGTGTGGGTCCGGGCTAAGGGTGGGGTCATGTGGGGGGTGGTCACAGGGGTTACTCCCCTGACTCCCAGCTTCTCCCCTCACAAAAATTTCCCCACCAGTTGCTGTCCCGGCCCGTCAGGGTAAGCAGCTGGCATGCCCGGACACTTTGTTTACTTAGGTTTACCTCTGTGCCTGCGGACGCTCGAGGTAAACAAACCATCTCGGCCTGCAAGCGGCTTATTCTGATGGCCCAGGAGCCAAAGTTTGCTGACCATTGAATTATAAGGTCGACTCATGAACGGGTTATAAAAATTTTCCATTTTTACTTATCCATCTTGGGGGGGTTGGCTTATAAACAAACTGGCTTATGATCGAGTATATGCTTAGTTATATATTATAAACTTATAGAAAGAGAACTTCTAAAAACGTTAAAATGTATTACTGGCACACGAAACCAAATTAGAGTGCATAAATGAAGACTCGGCACACCACTTCTGAAAGGTTGCCGACCCCTGATTTAGAACGAAAATTGAAACTCTAGCATCTTAGTTTCTTTTGGCACCAGCAGAACAAATTCCAAGCTTCTGAATATTTTTTCTTTGATTCTGCTATTGTCCTAGATCAGGGGTGAGCAAACTTTTTGGCCCAATGGCCACATCTGAGTATAGAAATTGTATGGCAGGCCATGAATGCTCACGAAATTGGGGTTAGGGTGCGGGAGGGGGTGAGAGTTCTGGCTGGGGTTCGGGCTCTGAAGTGGGGCCAGAAATGAGGCGTTCAGGGTGCGGAAGTGGGCTCCAGCTGGGGGTGCAGGCTCTGGGGCGGGGCTGAGGATGAGGGGTTTGGGGTGCAGGAGGGTGCTCCAGGCTGGGACCAAGGGGTTCGGAGGGCAGGAGGGGGATCAGGGCTGGGGCAGGAGGTTGGGGCACAGGGGGGTAGCTCAGGGGTGCAGGCTCCTATGCGGAGGCATGGCCACTGGGAGCTGTGGGGGTGGTGGTTGGGGTGGGGAAGTATACGGAGCGGAGCCCCCTTGCTGCCCCACATGTAGGAGCCGGAGGGGGGACATGCCGCTGCTTCTGGAAGCAACGTGGCACAGCCCCCTACCCTGATCCCACTCCCCAGCAGGGCGAGCCCCAGATCCTGCTCCCCAGCGGGAGCTTGAGGGCCGGATTAAAACAGCTGGCGGGCCGGATGCAGCCCGCGGGCCATAGTTTGCCCACCCCTGTTATAGATGGAGAGAGAGAATAACCTTCAAAGAAGAAGAGTAGCTGATTATTATATCACAGACATCCTGTTAGTTAGAATGCCACTTCTTCGAAATCTAAATGCCCCATATGAGCAAGGAGAATTGTTTAACATGATTGTTATCCATAATACATGTGTTATCAAAAAGCTTCTTTGGGGCAAATCCTTCCTCTGCCTTATAGGTGTTCTGCAGAGGAACTTGTGCAGTTCCAAGGTATAGGGTGAGGAATGGGGGATTTGGAGAGCCCACAAAGGGGCGCTTAGCCCCCATGCACTGTGGTTTCCTGTTTTGCAAGGTCTCATTGTGCACTGATGCTGCAAAGTGGCTTTATAGGTGGGGCTGTGAATCTGCCCTTTTATAAATTTGTTAATATTCACATTGGGGTGGCATTGACATCATAGAGGATAGACCACCCCTGACTCTGGAGCAGTGACAAAGGGTTTTCCTGCCACTCCACCACTTGGGGATGGATACCTTCCTCCAGCACCCTGGGGAAGTTCCCCAATGCCCATCCTGGCTGCCCAGGCTTTCCTCTGGGGCCAGGATTTGGATCTGTGGGAAACATCATGGTGTTAAGCACACTCCTTCTTCTGCTTTTGCCACGTACTCCAGTGAGATAAGGATCAGACCTTTGGCATAGATCGTGTAACTGATTTATATTACTTTGGACCATCAATATTGTTTTTTCAGGCAGCTCTCAGTATAAAGTTTATGTAAATAATTTCATTGCAGGTAAAAAGCCCTTCACAGAATATTCTTCTTCGGTGTTTATATAATCTAAACCAAGAACTCTGACAAGGTTTTTGTGCCATGAAGTTTTTATTTAAACTCCAGATTTTTAACTCTGTTTGGACCCCGAAGTCACCTTGTAGATTCTTCAGCAAACATTGCCGAGGATTTGCCCCTCAAAATATCTCTGGCTATGAATCCCCGAGCCTCTATAAAGAGTTGCCAGAGCACTTTAATTTTGCAAGTGACGTTTTGGACAAATGGAGTCAAATGGAAAAGGTAACATATTTTGTCTCCTTGGTTCCAATATTTTCGTTCATTTGTGTCTGGTGTTATATCATGTTATAGATACCAGTTCCAAAACATGTAATCTCTGTAATGATCCTTTCATAGTAGATGATAACTATTTTGCTGCTATAGGATACTTTTAAGGGTGTCACATAAATAACTGAACTGTTTGGAAAAACTTTTATCCCAAGTTTTCCATCTGAAAAATGTTGCTTTGATTAAACAAAAAAATTGCACAAAATCATATCAGTTTTGATGAAATTCCCATTAAAATTAAAATAGAAAGTTTCATTTTGGAAAATTAAATTTTGATTTTATTCAGTCTAGTTGTAGCTGTGTCAGTCCCACAGCGTTAGAGAGGCAAGGTGGGTAAGGTAAGATCTTTTATTGCACCAGCCTCTGTTTGTGGGAGAGAAAACTTGTTTCTCTCAAAAACTGAAGTTGGTCCAATAAAAGATCTTATCTCACCCACCTTGTCTCTCTTTTTTGATTTTGTCATTTTATATGACATTTATTAATTTTACATTAATGCACAGCATCTTATATTATGCACTACTACTGCTCACATGCTGTTATTTAGAATGAAAACAAATTACAAAATGTTGAAATGTACTATGAAATGGAAATTCCAAATTTCAACCAGCTCTAGTGAATAGTCAAAATGCCATTAAGAGTATTTGCTGCTTCACATGCCAACATATGATCATATTTAGGATCAGGGCATAAGTAGAAAAGACTGAGAAGGGAAATATTATTAGTCCCATTTTATTGATAGGGAACTAAGACACAGAGAGATTAAATGACTTGCCCAAGGTCACAATAGAAGTCTGTTGCAGAGCTGAGAAATAAACCTACATTATCTCCTTCATTCCAATCCTCTGATTTAACCACAAGCCTAGCCTTCTGCTCCTGGGCCCAGCTTCAGGAAAGCATCTCTATTCAGGAAAGCACTTACATCCCATTTAAGTCAAATGGCTGAAAATTAAGCATGTATTGAAGAGCTTTCCTGAATTCGTGCCTTACCCCCTGATTCTGCCAACATTGACATATGTGCTTAACTTTACACATGGTAGGTAGTGAAATCAGTGGGACTATCATGTTCTTAAAGTTATGCACATGCCTAAGTGTTTTTCAGTATCATGGTCAATAATTGGAATCAATTAAAGCATTCAGAAAATATCTCAATTCAGTATTTTTATCAGGGGATAATATTTAAGAGAAGTAATATATTTAGCTATTTTGCATAAAAATAGATACACAGGGAACTTAGGTTTAAAAATGTCAAAAGAATAAATAATTGTATGTTTTCAATAAGAGGGGCTAAAACCATCATAATTTATGTTAGAAACTTTTTTTGTGCTCTCACGAAGCCTAATCCTGCAGTCATGGTCAGTCTTATCTTCACAGGGAGTCCGTGATTGGGCCTGCTGTACATTTTCACCTGCGTATGTTACTTGTAATGGTCTGTTGTTTAAAGAATGGTTATGTTTCTCATTAACTTCTCAATGCAATTTTATATGATGATCATTTCTTCTTTACCAATAGGAGAACTATGGGCTCATCCCACCGCTGTGGGATAGAAATAACAATCATCTTCATTATGTGTTCTGGACCATGTTTAAAGGAAGCAGGTTAAGGATCTTGTACACTTGGAGTTATACTAATAACATAAAGAGCTCGATAGTTCTTTTCCCATAACCATGATTGTAATCTATGGCAAAACATGTCCAGAGGTAAACCTTCCCACAGGCTGGCCTAAACCTGCACATTTCATATGGTAACAAGGCATCGTTATGCATAGCTTGGGCAGCTCAGAAGATGAGAAGCAAATTCTCCAATGTACTTGATTAACAAGCACATATTAGATTTGGGATATAAGCCCACAAGCCTATAAATTCTTACACACATGCTTACCTTTAATCACAGGGTTAGTCCTGCAGAAGTCAAGGAGACTGCGCCTCTGCTTGAAGTTAAGCAATTGTGTGTTTGAAGCATTGGGTCTCCTCTTGATTGTTGCATTACACCTCTACCCCGATATAACGCTGTCCTCAGGAGCCAAAAAATCTTACCATGTTATAGGTGAAACCACGTTATATCGAACTTGCTTTGATCTGCTGGACACAGCCCCCCTCCCCCCCACACGGAGCACTGCTTTACCGCATTATATCCGAATTCATGTTATATCAGGTCGCGTTGTATCGGGGTAGAGGTGTATTTACACATTTTCCTAATTTCTTGTCTTTGCCAGAATGGAGAGAGAGCCTCCTCAATCCCAGCCCTCTGGTGGGTAGGTGATCAAGGCAATGAGGTAAGGTGGGGTTTTGAGGAGCTGGGATTTCTATCCAGGAAAGCAGCCAATGTACTCTCTGATGCATGTGGTCTGAAAAAGGGAGACAGAGTTATAGTGATGCTACCCCGGATACCAGAATGGTGGTCGATAACAGTGGGCTGCATAAGAACAGGTCAGTACAAAGAATAATAAGTGACTGAATTTATTTGTATTTCAGTAATGCTCATAAGCCCCGACTGAATTCCAGGCCCCATTAAACTAGGCACTGTACCAACAGAGCAAGAAACAGTCCCTGTCCTGAGGAGATTAGTCTAAAGCCCCAGTACTTCAAAGATTTCTGCTCTTAACTGTGCACACTGTGACCTGTCCCATTGAAGCCAAAGGGAATGCTTAGAGTGTGTAAAGTTGAGCATGTGAGTAAGTTTTTGCTGGATCAGGGTCGGAGTAGAAAAGACTGACAAAGGAAATATTGCAGTGTTGTAGCTGGGTTGGTCCCAGGATATTAGAGAGACAAGGTGGGTGAATGTGACAGGGTACAATCTGGGCTGTTGAACTGCTGTGTCCCCTAAATTCTCTAGCCTGGGGTGTTTTTTACATTGCTTTGCTGTGAGAACATCCACTTCTGGCCTGTTCATACAGCCTTCAGCATCTAAAATCACTCCCAGCTAAGTTACGTACATGCTCTGGCCAGCCACTCATGAATTAAATACAGACAACATCCACAAATTCCCAATCCCAGCCTTGTCCCCCAGAAATGTGCGTCTTGTACTGCTCAAAACTGTACTGAACAATGCAAGCTCATATAAAGTCTGTCATTTCATCAATGGAAAATAATATGCACCATCTTTGTTATCCCAAATGGAGTTCCCACACACTTTAATCCAAGCACACAGTTAAGATAAAACAAGAAGATAAGTTTATTAACTACAGAAAGATAGATTTTAAGTGATTACAAGTAATGATGCATAAAAGTCAGGATTGGTTACAAAAGAAATAAAGAAGTAAAATGCAAGCTAATACTTCACTTAACAAGCTAAGTGAACTTAAAAATAAAAAAAGTTATGTCTCACCGTATGTTTATAGCAGTCTGTACTGGCTGATAAGCCCCCTTTCAGTCAGGAGCACCCCTCCCCCAGTTCAATGATGCTTTCTTTGATTTGCGAGCATTGTTGCTGCTGTGAGTAGAGATGGGGGTAGAGAGAAGTGATTTGTATTGTGGGTGCCCTCCATTCTTATACCTTTCTCCCCTCTTTGAGGATTATCTCCAGCGGGGGTTCAGGCAACAGCCAGTCTGTTTACATGGAAACTCCAGCCATTTTCATTGCCAATATGTAAAGTTCTCACTCACGCCCTAGTTCTTGCCAAAGAATAATCACTTAACTAAGTGATAGCCACTTGACTTTGTTGATAGCTGGCTGAGGTGCCAGTATGTCTTTGTCTCTGAAAAACTGGTTTTGGCCTGCTTTTCTGACTCTGGAGCATGTTACAGCAATGCTATACAGTAGAATCTTATAACTTTATATACAATATTGATACACATATTTTACTGGGACAATAATGTTCAGCAGATTATGACATTTCAAATGATACCTCACAAGGCATACTTTGTACAAAATGTATCACAGTCTTGTAAAAGTGGTGACTATAATAGTATAGATTGTCACAGTGAGGTAATATCTTTTATTGAACCATCTTCTGCTGGTGAGAGAGACAAGCTTTCAGGTTTACCCATAGCTGAAGAAGAGCTCTGTGTAAGCTCAGAAACTTGTCTCTGTTGCCAACAGAAGTTGATCCATACAAGATACTATCTCACCCACCTTGTCACTCTAAAGGAAGTGTTATTATTTCCATTTTACAGATAGGGATCTAAGGCACAGAGAGATTAAGTGACTTGTTCAGGGTCACACTGGGAGTTTCTGGTAGAGCTGGGAATTGAACCTAGATCATCTCCTTTTCTTTTTGAAATGACTTTTCATTTAGAAATTTCCTTCAATTTTTTTAAATTAAAAACATAAAAAATGCTTGAAATCAAAACAAGAGTTTTGTTTTGAATTGAATTAAATGTTTCATTTGATGTGAAGCAATTTTTTTCCATCTTTATGATATACCGAAATTTTGAAAATTTTCGATTTTGGTTTGATCCTAAACAATCTTTTTCAGTTTTTCAAATTCCCAGCAAACTGAAAAATCCATTATTCACACAGCTCTGCTTTCCTGAATCTCTGCCTTAGCCCCTGATCCTGTAAACATTTACACACATTCTTAGTCAGTCCCAGTGAAATCAATGGGACTATTCACGTGCTTAAAGTTAAGCACAGCTTAAATGCTTTCAGGATCAGGGTCAATAACTAACATCAATTATTAAAGCATTCAAACAATTTCCAAACTCAGTATTTTTATCAGGAGATAATATTTCAGAGAAGTAGTATATTTAGCCATTTTGCATAAAAAGATGTTTTGACATTTAAATATTGTATTGATTGTATATTTTTTAAAGAAGTTCATGACAAAATATTAATATAACAGAGCCCATTTTACAAAGGAGAAAGCTGAGGCACATAGTTTAAATGATGTGTGAGCCTCATGGGGCTATAGGAGGGGGCATCCCCCAGACAATGTGGCCTTAGTATTGGCAGCAAAATAACGTTATCTCCCAGAAGATTCTTCTGCAAAGATAAAAAAGGAAGAACCTAGGGTGAAGGATTAGGTTGGGATTTCTGATTCACAATGATGCTCTACTTCAGTCTGATGTAGCTTAACTCTACTCCAGGTCATAGGCTACCACTAGGAATAAGTCTGAAGAGGCAATTGCATGGGAATTAATTCTATGGTAGATACAGGGCCGGCTCCAGGCACCCACCAAGGAAGCAGGTGCTTGGGGCGGCCAATACAAAGGGGCGGCATGTCCGGGTCTTCGGTGGGAATTCGGCGGCGGGTCCCTCAGTCCCTCTCTTCTTCTTTGAGCTGCTGCCGAAGAGGAAGAGAGGGAGTGAAGGACCCGCCACGGAACTGCTGCCGAAGAATGGAGCGGCGCGATTGAGCTGCCGCAGAAGCGCCGCCAATCGTTGTTTTTTTTCCCCCCGCCACTTGGAGCAGCAGAAAACCTGGAGCCAGCCCTGGTAGATAACAGCAGCAGAAGGCATAGCACAGAAGGATAAGTACAAGGGGCCAGATGTCCAACTAATGTAAATTGGCTCAGCTCTGTTGAAGCCAATGGACTTACACTGGCTAGAATCTGGCCCAAGTATTTTTAAATGTTCAGCTACTTTTAAACTTCCATTTATTGCACTTCTAGGAATTATCTATATTCCAGCAACAACCCAGCTGACAGCTAATGACATTTTCTATAGACTCCAGGCTTCTAAGGCCAAATGCATCATTACCAATGATACACTGGCACCTGCAGTGGACTCAGTTGTGTCCAAGTGCCAGTTTCTAAAAATCAGGCTAATGGTATCTGAAGGCAGGAGGGATGGATGGCTGGACTTCAAAGAACTACTCAAGTGAGTATGTCTTGCCTCAGTGAGCTAATCATCCAAATGGAAATTCAGGTGTTTCCAGCTTTGTATCGTACCCCTCCTTGTTTAAAAAGCAGTTTCAGAACTGAGATAACTCATATATTCCATGTGTTTGGGGGGAGCCAGTTCTTCCCTCATTTACCTGACAAGTCTGCATTCCAACACTAAATTAAATACAAGTATAAAAAGTTAACAGGGATGGGAGAGGAGATATGCAAATACATTTGGCTTTAAATATATAGAGGGCAAGGGAGAAGCATTAATGACAACAGAACAGGGTCATTCTGCTGAAAAAGTGTGCTGAACTCTAGCTTCAGATACACATGTAGGGCCATTGAAGTCAAGAGAAGTCTTTCCATTGATTTCAATGAGTACTGGATCAGGCCCTTAGCTCTCACTGAATGCAAAGGGAGTTTTGTGTGTATTTCCAAGACCAGAATTTGGCCTAATAAATCTTACTGGCAAGTGACCATTAAGAATGAGATCATAAGCAGTTTAATTTGGAAAGAGAAAAGAAATGCCTGCACTTAAGTTGTAAACTAGATAGGGATTGAAGTTTCCTTTGTTGGATAGCTTATCCATTCTGATGTACTCTTGTCTTTATTTTGAAGAGCTGCACCTGGTGATCATGACCCTGTTAAGACAAAGAGTCAAGAAGCAATGACTATCTACTTTACTAGTGGAACCACAGGTTACCCCAAAATGGTGGAACATTCTCACAGTAGTTTTGGTATTGGAATGACCTCGACTGGGAGGTATGTACTGAAAATACTTTGTTGCTCTGATAATCCATGGTCACAAAATTAATATGTAAAAAATACTGAATATATGATTATTTGTCTGAAAATTCATACCAGGAATGGATTGATCAATGGATTCATGGTGGTTAAGTCCATTAATGGCTATTAGCCAGGACGGGTAAGGAATGGTGTCCCTAGCCTCTGTCTGACAGAGGATGGAGATGGATGGCAGGAGAGAGATCACTTGATCA